ACCAGCCACTTCATGACAGAAAGACAAGGCAGTCAGCTTCCCTAAAGATTTACATTCTTGGAAGTCCTCTGGGGCAGTTAGACTCTGTCCTATAGAGTCACTGTGAGTCAGAATCACAGAATCAATGCAATGGCAGCGAGTGTATGGATGTACAGCACCTGGTCAAGAAGGCAGAAGTGCAAAAGGTCCACTCTGCCATAACTGGCATAATCTAATAAATAGCATGTTGTTGTTGTGTACCATCGAGTTGGAACTGACCCACTGTGGACCCTCCAGCAGGTTTTCAGAGGCAGTTAATCACGCAGGAAACTGCCCATCCTCCTCCCCCCAAGCAACAGGGGACTCAAACCTCGTGCATCTAGGACTACAGTGCAGCTTCTTGCCACGAGGCCACCAGAGCACCCATAAATAGCATGCCATTCTATACTAATTATTCATCATCTATTTCCTGATTTGCTGTACTGTGATGGCCTGTGTGTTAATATGATGTTGGAAATTATGTAATCAGTATGCCAAATATCAGGAGGGTTATTCATAGGGGACAAGTTTCAGGAGAGTTAACCAGACAAAGAGAAAGAAGGAAGACAGGACTGGAAATCCACTTCTGAAGAAAAGTCAGTGAAAATCTTGTGGCTAAAATAGCATATGGCCAAACACAGTGCTAAATGATGAGATTCCTAAGTTTGAAGACAATGAACTCAAACTTGTTGGTAATCAAGAGACAGTGCAATAAAAACAACTGGATATAATCCAAAAATGAGCTGAAAAGGTACTTTTTCATACTCCTGGTGAAAAAAAAAATAATTTATATATATATATATATATATAGTAAAATAGTTTTTTGGTGAGGAGTTTGGTAATATAAATTTTCTTAAATCTAGCAGTTATACTCATAGAAATTTATCTTAAAGAAGTATTCATCAAGAGTTCAAAAATGTCCACAATATCCAAGGAAGACTATTGTCTCATTATCAAACTATTGCATCATTGTATATACACTTACACTGACTATATGTAAACAGCTAAATATAAAAGAGAAATAGATAAATGATGAAACATACTTCCTAGAGATTATTTAGCCATTAAAAAAATGAGGCAAACATACTAACATGTAAAGAGCTCCAAGAAATGCTATGGAAGTAGATCAGAGAAAAATCAACCTAGAATTATCTCAATTATATATTGAAAGGGAGTGCTGGTTGTCTAGTGTTAAGAATGTACTCTGTGGGGAGGCTCTGGTGGCCTGGTGGCAAGGAGCTGCAACTACAATCCCAGAGGCGCACGGTTCGAATCCACTAGATGCTCTGCCGGGGAAGGAGGGACAATCTCCTCCTGTACCAGTCAGATCTGATTTGACGGTACACGCACACAAAAATAATTTAAAAAAAACCAAAAACCAGAATGTACTCTGTAATCCCAAAGGCACACAGTTCAAGTCTACCACCTGCTCTATGAGAGGATGGTCAATCTCTTCCCTTGTGATTTACTGCCTCTGAAAACCCCCTGGAGAGTCAGCTATGGGTCAGTTCTGACTCAAGGCACAGAACAACAATATACATTTTAAAAATCTGAATTGAGTATGTGATGAGAACAAAATGGAAGCATTTGCCTAAACACAAAGCCCAGAGAAAAGGAAGAGACAAGAAAGAAAGACAAATGGAAATGGAGAATCCAGGGAGGAAATGGGAAGAGTACTATTATTACTTTGAGGAGACTGCAACCAGTGTCTTCAACAGACTGGATATAAACTGGTAAATGGAAAACTAAGTTTTCTCAGTAAATTTTCACCCAAAACACAATAAAACATGTAAAAGGGGGAAGGGGGAGGAAACAAGGTCTAAATTGTTTCCCTACCTGTGTAAACGTATAGAAAAATAATTTAGGAAAATGGCAAACTACTATTAAGTTACTCAAGAGAAAGGAGAGACATATAAGAATCCTTTCACTTTTACTTCAATACTTCTCTGGATTTTTACAACCATTGTGTATTGTGTGCTTTTCTAAAGGAAAAGTGGTAAAGACACACACACACACACACACACACACACACACACACACACACACACACAGCTTAGACACTCTTCACAAGAGAAAAACCAAAATCACTTATGGTCCAGTTATGGGAGCAAATCATTTAGTGTTTCTTCTGCAGAGTCTCTGGGTGTATTCAAATCTTTCAGTTAGTGTTGGAGTGCTTAGCCATTATATCATCAGGGCACCTTGAATTTCTATTAATGGTTATAAAAAATTTTAGAAATGAATAGTGGTGATGGTGATCTAACATTGTTAATATTGTTACTGTCACTGTATTGAGTACTTATAAATGGCAGAAATGGCAAATATCTTGTTATGTGTATTTTGCCACCAAAAAAAAAAAATCTGTTAAAAAAAAAATCAAATAACCCCAAATAATCTAGATACTAAACTTTGCAGATAAGTATTTTAAAGTAGACTGCCGAAGCTCTAAGGAGCGCTAGTGGCTTAGTGATAAGGAGTTGTGCTGTCAGACCAAAGGCAGGTGGTTGAAACCCACCAATTAACTAACTGCTCCACAGGATAAAAATAGGCAATCACCTCCCGTGTGATTTATGCCTATAAAAACCTACTGGAGGATCAGCTATGAATCAGTTCTGACGTTTTGGTATGTAACAACTCAGAAAGGAAATCTTTCTGTGAGAAGTCGAATGGAAAAGAAAAAAAAATCAAATGTAAGTAACTATGTCTTGGAGAAGGTGCAGTGAGAGTGCTTCTTGGAGGCAAAAGTGACAAAGCATTGTCTCACAAAGTTTGGGTATGGGGTTAGGAGAGATTATTCCTTGGAAAGGAACATCATGAAGTCATACTCGACTTGATGACACCTAACAACAACATACAACAGTTTACAACAGGTTAAATCTAAATAAACTGAACAATCGAGTATGTATAAACTTAATACTTCAAAAATATTAAGACTCACTCATTAATCTTGACTCAGAAGTAACTGCTAGCTGAGCCTCCAGAGGCTTTTTGGAAGGCTGTAAATCATACAAGAGGAGGTCTTGGTCCATCATTTCACTTTGGAGTTGCTCATGGTACTACCTAGGTTAGCAGTGCAATGCTCTATAGTCAATGCCTTACATTTTACTCTAACCACAAAAATATGGCAGCTAAATACCCAACAGTTTATGTCTTTAAACATAAATACTTTAATTATACAGTGAAATTTTTAGTGAAAAGACATATTATGCAGAGTAAACAAAAAGAAAACTGAAGTTCCTTTATTAATATCAGACAAAGTAGATGTCAAAGAGTACTACCAAAGACAGCCTAATGGAAAAGGGGTGACTCATCAAGAAAACAATTACGTATAAGCATCTAATAACAGAATTTTTATAAACATAGCACAAAACTGACAGACTTAAAGGAAGAAATAGACAAATGCACAATCTTTGCAATTGACAAAATTAAACAAAAGCAAAATCAATAGAAACAAGTATCAGAAAAACACTACCAACTTGTCCCAATTGACGATGGAATGTTACCCCAACCATGGTAGAACAGATATTCTTTTATAAGGGCCTAAGATGCATTCTTCAAGACAGATCATATGCTGGTCACAAAATAAATCTTAACAAATATAAAAACACTGATATTCTATGAAGTATTTCTTTTTAAAGTAAGTTTTCTGACCACAAATGACATTAGAAATTAGTAACATAAAGGAATTTATAAATCCCCCAAGTATTTGGAAATGAAATAACATGCATCTAAGTAACCCATGACTAAAGAAATCACAAGATCTTTTTTTTAAAAAATTTTATTTTATTATTATTTTTCTGTGTCTCTGTACCGTCAAATCAGATCTGACTGGTACAGGAGGTGGTTGTCCCTCCTTTCCCGGAAGAGCATCTGGTGGATTCGAACCATGGGCCTCTAGGACTGCAGTGCAGCTTCTTGCCACTAGGCCACCAGAGCTCCCCTAGAAATCACAAGATCTTTTGAACTGAATGAAAATTAAAAAGACAGTATCAAGCCTCTCACATTTTCCTTTCATTGGGGAAGTCCCTTCCTTTGCGATGTAACTTTCTAATAAATCTATCATTACTATTTCACCCTCAAAAAACAAAATACAGTCTCAAAATTGATAGGATAGAGCTCAAGCAGTACCTGGATGGAAATTTATGACTTAAAACATTTATATTAGGAAGACATAAAGACTTAAGTTTCCATTTTAAGAATTGAGAAAAATAAAAGAAAAAAATTAAGGTAAGTACAGAAATCAGTATTTTTTTTTAAATCATTTTTGTGTGAGTGTACCATCAAATCAGATCTGACTGGTACAGGAGGAGATTGTCCTCCCTCCTTCCCCGGCAGAGCACTGGTGGATTTGAACCGTGCGCCTCTGGGATTGTAGTTGCAGCTCCTAGCCACTAGGCCACAAGAGCTCCCCTTCAATATAATTTTTAAAAAACAAAGAACCTAACAAATTAAAAAGTTGGTTCTTTGCAACATGAAATCAATATATCTTTAGCCATAATGATCAAGAGAGATTATAAATTACAAATATCAGAAATGAAAAGGTTTTAGTACTTACCAACATCAAAATTACAGTAGAATATTATTAACCCAAACCAGAACACACTGACGCAATTTCAACTTACAGTCCCCTCCATTTGGTTTCTGAGGTTGTAAATATTTAAGAGGAAAATGCTTTCTTTCTAGAGGGTTCAAATCACTGACTTTTCAGTTATCAGAACAAAATACAGACAGTATGCTAACAGAAGGTCTTATATTATTAACAGGTGAAAGAATATTAAAAAGAAAAATTAAGTCTTTTTCTTTCTTTTAATAATCAAAGCAGATGGTTTGAATCCACCAGATGTTCTGCTGGAGAAGGAGGGACAATCTCTTTCTGTACCAGTCAGATCCAATCTGATGGTACACACACAAAAAATAATTAAAAAAAAAATCAAAGCAGAGTGAACATGTATTTGAGAAGACTGTTAAATCTAAATACAAACCAGTAACAGTAGAAACCTCCTGGGACTCAGCAAGGGAAGTAGCTGCTTCTGTTTTCATAGTGTTCTCTCCCATTGACTTGCAGTTCAACTCCAAACCTGGAGTGCCCAGTCCATCCCCAAATGAATGGCAAGTTATTGCAGATGACACTTGTCCAGGTTTCAAAGGAGATTTTAACTGACCTACAAGAAAAAAGGAAGTCTGAGGAATATATACATGTATATTAATTTGGGAATCAACAGTTGTGTAAGAGATGATGGGAGTTGTTGGGGAAAGCCACAGATTTACAGGTGTCAATATATACAGTCAGGTTTGTGGGCAAAGAAAAGGGTTAATAAGAGGCTTAGTGAAGTGAAGCATTGCAGGAAATGCTGGCAGTTCAGAAAGACAAAAGTATTGTGCCTCTCACACAACAATCAGAGGTTTATCAGCAAAATCAAACACAAATCTCAATCTGTACCGAAAGTCTGCCTATTGCATTAGTGAAGAATAATATATTAGAAAACACAGCTACCATTCAGTGACTTGATTTACAGACCATCTGACACTTATGGGGGGCAGTGGCGGTGGTACTGTATATCAAATCAGAGGTAGTACACAGTGATTTAAATTAGTTTTTAAAAGATAGGTACCAGGTTAGTAAGAAAATTCAAAAACAAACTGACTCACCTTCAGGTTCCTTTGCACTGGGTGGTGTGTCTTGTAAAGGATTTGTAACAACTTTACTAACCAAATCTGATACAACCAAGTCAGGATTTAGGATCTCCGGAGTGCCGTTAGTGGACAGCCTAGAGGATCGTCTCCTTGATAAGTCTTTGTCACTGTTTTCCGAGTAATTTTTTGTCTTTTCTTGGGCTATAAAACATTAAAAGAGATGTAGTCAAAAGACCTACCAGAGATTTGTATACTGGTAATGTCTATAAGGCCTTTACAGAAAATTTCTAAACTGTTAGATCATGATGAAATGAACTCTTTTCTTAGTTTATAGCTTTAAATCAAAGCAGTTCAATCTTTCTTTTACAAAAGGATTCATGGTCTGAAATTTTATTTTTTTTTTTTTTTTTTTTGTAGTTAAACAATGATTTTATTGCTCAAGTACATAAAGCCAAATGGTCTGAAAATTTATGTCAAGGTCATATCCCAATCTTGGCAACTTAAGATCTATTTGGAGCTTCCCACCTTAAAAGTCTATGCACTGCCTTCCAAAATCAATAAAGCTTATAAAAACCTTACTTATAGCCATCTTAAACCTTCTTTTTTATTTGAGCCAAAAAGTATTAAAAACAAATCAATTAGTATTTTTAAAGTTCCATTAAGCGTATGAAATGGATTTCTTCCTAAGCCATTAAATTTCTAGTGGAATGCAACTCAAATGTACAATTTATGAGTATGGTAATGACACCATTAACCCAACATGAACATAGTTGTGCTCTGGAATTTCTTTTGCTAACTGGCTGCCTTGTATGTTTGTGTTTGATTAACATAAAAGTTGGCAGTTCAGTCTAACCCTATGACACTGCACAAGAAGCAGCGATACACTTTCATAAAGAACATACCCAAGAAAACTCTACGCAACATATGGGTTGGTTCACTACAAGTCAGAATCAACTAGATTGTAACAGATTCAATAAATGCCAAGTTTTAGATACATAAACAAATTACAGACTCACATGAACTTTTTTCAAGCCGAGGACGTTTTAATGGGATATCACTTCCTTTTGAGATTTTCCGCCTTCTCAACTCTAATGTTATTGGCTGTAAAGTTTGAGAGTTTGAATCCACAGCTATATTGTATATTATTTAAAAAAAAAAAAGATATGTAAGTACTTAGTGCTCTACGTTTTTACATATAAAGCACAGATATAATCAAAAATTCTAACATAATCAATAGGCTTTTAAAAGAGTTTTTTAGGATAGAAGAAAAGAAAAAAGGTAAATGAATGAGTGGCTACTTTCTTATTGGGAGATGCTAATATTCTGGCATCAACTCCTGTATCTTTTTTTTCAGTCTCTCCTATGACCCTACCCCAGTCAGACATTTCTTTCTCAAAATCCTCACCTTTAAAACCCTGCACTCAACATGATAGCTTTAAAAAGAAAGTTAAGTGCAATAATAAGAATGAAACAAAACAAAAGGATTTTTAAGTCCTTCAATCTTAACAAAAATTTTACTAGACCAATACTCTGGAAATTCAACATACCAGTGAATTCCTAAAATATGTACCCTGAGACTAATACTCGAGTACTATTCCCAATCACTACTTCCAAAATTAGATTTTTGGCATCAGTCTTAATGAACCAAAAAGGATGTCAACATTTAGTTCCTCTTATAAACAATCCAGAAATGCTCAAGAAACTGTTTTCAAGCATGGTGCTCTTCCCTATCAAATCCAATTCTGACATAATAAAGCAGTGAAAACCCTTGGATAGTATTTGCTTTTATCTAACACTTAAGATGTTCCCTTCAGTTCAGAAAGAAAACAATCTGAAAAGCAAGCAAAAAAGAGAACAAAGGCAAAGAAGCCAGGAAAGCATGAGAAGACAGCAAAGGTTTGAGAAAATGAAGATGAAGAAAGCAGGAAAGGTGATTAAAGGGAAGATGGAAGAAAAGGAAAGGGAAAAGAGGGAGGTAAGATCCAGCTAAAATGAGTAGCTTCTGATATGACAAGTCAAATTGCAGAAGAAGATATAGAACTAAGTTGTGAGGAGGTAAATTTGACCAAAATACTAAGCTTAGTCTATGTTGGCTCTTTCTGTGTCCATTCTTGCCAAAGTGTAAACATTATTCTGTTCCAAATAGTGAGAACTTGGAGATCATAGCGTTCCAAACTAAATACAAACATAAACAGACTTATCCAAATAGCTCAGATACTGCTCCAGTCAGATCTGTACAATCTAAGGAGCTGAAACTGCTATGAAGTCAATGACCTCATTCTAAATAATTTTTACAGGAATCTAATTATATGCGGAATACTTAGCAAGCATTTCTAAGCATTTCTTTGATACCACATACAAACAAAGCTTAACATGTTCCTCAAACTCTTAAGCAAGAATCATCCATAAACCCTGTTAACAATTTCCATTCCCAGGTCACACACTCCTAAAATGAGAGGACTGAGACAATGCCAAAATCTGTTTTTAACAAATTTCTCGGACTAGTGTAAACAGGAAGTTTAGAAAACACTATTTCTTTACTAAGTTGATCTGAGCTAATAAGAAATCCTACATTTACATAAAAGATAAAACCAATAAACTAAATATCCCTCTTGTTCCTACTCTATGTCATATGGCCCTCAAAGGGTCAGTCTGCAAAATGAGGCTTAAACTGCAAATAACTGTGTATATATATATATATTTTCCCAAACTGAACTTGAGGGATTCTTAGGTAATGCAAATGGTTAATGCACCTTGCTGCTAATCAAAAAGATGGAGATAAAAATTTATCCATAGCAGAGCAAAGCCTGGTGATTTACTTGCAACGACTGGCCACAGAAGATGCTATGGAGCACAGTTCTTTTCTAACATGTATGGGCCTAAGATGAGTAAGATTAACTTGACAGTACTGGTAAACCAAGCTGAAGACAAATCAGAATTCACCAGTTCACATTTTTCACCTTTCCTTTCAAACTTCTCTCTCCCACTTTGTTTTTGTAACATACTGCATGGCCTAGGAATTTAAAAACGCCAATCTTTCTACACCAGGATTCCTCATTTGAATCTACAACACAGGCTATTCTTCCATTCTTCCAAGGGTGGTACTTGACTAGTACCAGTCTCAGTTTACAGAAGTCAATGAGATGCTGTAGGCATTAGGACCTAATTCTCTTATGGAATCTCATTGAGAGAGGTAGTAAATTTAGGCAAGTGTCCAGTACAAGCATAATGAGAGCCACAAATTCAAGCCATATTTTTAATTTTAGAAATCATGTTTTTTTTAAAAAAATAAAAATCATGGTTAAAGAATTAAGACGCACCATTAATTTTTAAAGTATACTTTCTTTAATCCCTACATCTGAAACTCGTTTCACTATGTAATCAATATTAAAAATTATTTCACTTTTTTATCAAATATTTGAAGTATAGTGTATATTTTATACTTAGAGCACATCTTAATTTGAACTAGGCATAACTAAAGTGCTCAAATCCCAAATGTGGCTAGTGGTAATCAAACCAAACACAAGACATGGATAGGCCCTAAGTAAAGGCTCACCACCTCAGTAACTGGGGTCACAAGAGTAGGAACATGAGGGAGCTCTGGTGGCCTACTGGCAGGAAGCTGCACTGCAATCCCAGAGGTGCATAGTTCAAATCCACCAGATGCTCTGCTGGAGAAGAAGGGACAATCTCCTCCTGTACCAGTCAGATCCATTTTGATGGTAAACACAAGAATATAAAGAAGAGTAGGAACATGCATGTAAGTATGTTTTAAGGCCACTACCACATGATCGTGAGCAGTAGTCTTCATGTTTAATCACACGCAGTCCAGAAACTATGTCTCTGACCTGTGGGCTCAGGAAGCAATTTAGGACAGAATTCATTTTTGAGTTTTAAAAAAATAATTTCAAATTTCAACTTGTATTCTTTCCTAAATCTACAACCAGTAATCTTGATTTTTATCAACGAGTCACTTCAGCTTTCTACTTGGAATGTGAAAAGTTATAAACTGTAACTAGTCTCCATAAAGTTCAATTTCATAGCTTCTCTTAAGTCTACTGGCTAAGATTACAAGTAGTATCAAAAGAATTCAATTTCAAAATGCACCTGAGACACTCTAATGTTCCTTGAATCCAGCCACCTTCAAAGTAGGGGACTCGCATTTATCTCACTAAACCCGTTACAATTCCTATAGCAAAAATAAACCAAAATCTTGGGGGGAAAACCCCTCCAACCCACTATTTCTTGATCCCAGGCTCTATTACACTTATTTAAAATGAGACTTTTCAAAATAAGCCTTAGCTTATTAATAAGCCCAAAATTTAAAAGATTGCATTTTATAAGCTGAAGTGTTTAGAGGACAGTTCTACCACCTCAGAAGCTCAGTCATGGATATGCCTCCTTATTTATGTTTACCTGGTGACATGTCTCACTTAGAATCTAGTTCCAAAGACACAACTTGTTTTCAGATATCAAGTCAGTCACAAAACAAAGGACTGAAATACAGAAATTATAAAGAACTACAAAGGGCCACAGGAAAACATTCAGGCATTGCTCACTGCAGAGCCCATGTAGGAAACTCACCAGCAGGAGCTATGGAAGGGGGTCGGCCTCGTTTTCTTTTAGGTTCCCTCAAGTTTTCTTGAGGACTCTTCACAATGTCATTTTCGGGTTTCTTATCCACTTGAACATCTCCAGAATATTCCCTGTCATTTTCTGAAATGTTCTCCTTATCCTCCTTCTCGTTCTTAGGAAGGCTTTTCTCTGAAACTTTCCCCTTGTCCGAGATAAACAGTTTTCCTTCTTTGTCAGGCTGCTTGGGTCTCTTTTCTGTCTTTAAAGCTTTGTCCTCTTTATCTTTCTTTACGTTGACTGTGGCTTTTCTTTGCTCTTTAAACTTCTCGCGTTTATCAGATGATGAAAAATTTTTGTGATCTGTTTCTTTGGGCCTAGTGTTACCCACAATATTCTAAAATAACCAAGATAGCAATTAAACATTTTATGACTACTTGCAATTATAAAACCAAGAGGTTTTCTACAATATTGTAAAGATAAGCAAAAAAGTTAAAAGATAACATATCCCAAGTCATATAATGCAAAGCACGTGGAAACCACTCTGGACATTTGCAAATCAAGTCTAAGCTTAAATAAAGTAACTTAAATTCAATTTCTTCTCTTTCAATAAGTCGCTAGGAAACAGGTAAGGAGACATAGAAATAATTATCCTAGGGATCCTGTCTAGAAAGGAATCTTTCAAAGGTATTCTAAGAAAATGCAAACTCTGGGAGCTCTGGTGGCCTACTAGCAAGAAGCTGCACTGCAATCCCAGAGGTGTGCGGTTCAAATTCACCAGATGCTCTGCTGGAGAAGGAGGGGCAATCTCCTCCTGTATCTGTCAGATCCGATTTGATGGTACACACACAAAAAAAATAATTAAGAAAAAGAAAATGCAAACTCTGTCCTTCTCATCCTACCTTCATAACTATATAGGTACTAGATCACGTGGAAAAAAACTCAAAGTGGTAGCTAGAGAATGAACAAAAAAACCTATAAAGATCATCCAACTGGAAGGCCCTCCTTCCTCTACTAGGTAAAGGTTGCATTCAGCCTACCAGGCTACGTTCCATGTTCCTGAGCTAATCCTCATTTTTATCCAACCAAAAGAAAATACTGGTTCTTGGTTACTTTCTTTCTAAATTATTTTCTGTAAAAATAATCCTTAATAAAAGTTGTTTAAAGAAGAGAAATCTTTTTCCTTATAAAATCAGAAAATTTAAAAAAGTGAACTTTAAAGCCTTGTGTTCTATTATCTCTGAATCATAAAAAAAAAATCAAGCACTGAAAGCTCCTTTTTTTCCCCAGAAACTAAAATTAAGTTTATTTCTATATGTATCTCTTTTCAAGATCTGTAAAGAACAGGAACTACCATATCATATTCATGTGAGATCATTAGCACCTAGTATACAGTCTTTGTGTACTGTCAAGTTGGAAGTGACCCATAGCTGACCCTCCAGTGGGTTTTGGAGACAGTAAATTGCACCAGAGGAGACTGTCCATCCTGCTCCCGCAATAAACAGTAAGTACACAAGTTTTCCAGAAGCAGGAAAGAATGCCTAAATGTATAGCAGATACAAGATTAATTGCTCCATAAAGAAAAGCAAGTAAGGTGTCCTTTGGAGTGAGAGCCTAAAAGCACATATTTTAAGTCTCAAAAACTATTCTGAAAGTATAGTTCTGTGTTCTCTGTTGGAGAACAGGCATTCTCAGAAACAGACGGTAGAAATATAAAGCTCAACCACATTCTTGAAAGGCAGAGTGCATTGGTAATTTGGGTCAAAAGACTTGCATGTTTAACATTAGAACAAAATATAATTTTCTAACAGACTAATCAGAGTTACATCCTCAGGTGTATAAATATCCTTTACGGCTGAAAATTAAGGAACTGGTAACACAAAGTATAATATGTTTGGTGCCACGTGTTGGTGGTTTAAAGTAAAAAAAATTGAACTTGGGGAAAGACTATTGTTGTTGTTATGTGCTGTAGAGTCACTTGTGACTCACAGCAACCCTATTACTCAGCAAAATTCTGTTAGAACAGTAGTATATATGCTACGCAACTATGGACAGATAGAAGCTTAACAAAAAATATGGATGGATATACTCCAAACTATTCAGGACAATTCTATCTAGATAATGGGACTGTAGAGTTTTTAGCTTGTTTAGGCTTATTTGTACTTTCCAAATTCTCTATAGTAAGTGTGTATTATTTTTGTCACTTAAAGAAGTTACAAAAAAAATGTATTATGGGTATTCTATTTAAAATAGCATATTAAATAAAGTTTCGATAATTTTTATAAGTATTTTATAATTTTTATTATTATATATTTATATTTTAACAATATAAAGCTTTACAATTTTATTATATACGTTTTAAGTTTCTATTTGTGAGTGATTGTAACATAAGCAGATTCCTAGGGTTGGAGAAATCTCAGAAGCCATTTCAGTCAAGTAACAAAACCCTTTTGGAAAAAGCGGCGCACACTAAGAGGCAGCTGGAAGTTAAGATTTGGAATTCCTACAAACCCTCACTAGGCAAGGCATCCACCTAGAAGCCAAAGCACTATGAGGGCCATCAGTCAACTTACTGAGTAATACGCACTAGTAAACAGTTAAATGTTTGTTATTTGGAGCCCTGGAATTCCTTTGGAAAGATTCTGGATATAATTCAATTCTGGACAAATTCATAATGTAAGTCTTCCACAAATTTAATACAAAAATTGTAAAATTTAAGGTTAGTATTATATAATCAGGTAGCTCCTCAGAAAAACAATAAAAGGTAAATATTCCTTTATACTACTTTCAACATTTCATGATCCTTGGAAATGTTTAAATACATATTCAGGGAAATGACAAGCAGAAGCATTTGATCAGCACAAGAAAAGATAAAAGCACCAAACTGTCATATCAACACCACTCAATAAGGAGGAATAAGTTAGAATGCCTTAGTGATTAAATTTTTATGATTTTGCAATAGTTGTTCCCCTTTTATAATCAGTTAAAAAAAATCACAATTTTTTTATAAAAAAGGTTTTTCTAAAAAAATCCAAATCCAGAGATCCAAATATTGATCTTGCGTTTCCCCTCAACTATTTAATTTAAACATAAAATGAAAAACTGAAGAGGAGAAGAAACAACAGGAAGAAAGCAGATAATGCTTTTTTCTAAATGCCTTTGTAGAGTATAAAAACTCAGGCCATGTGTTTGGGGACACATAGTAACTAGAAAAATACAATAGAATTACTTTCAACTCAGGAAAATAATTGAAAAACAAACAAACAAAAAACAACCAAGGTACACGGTTGTTTTAACTCATGCCAAATGGTCCCTCCGTAAACCAGCTTGGATCACAGTCCAAAGCTGAAGTTTTAAAACCTAGATAAGAAGGAAATCATGCTCTAGGTTTCCTCAAAGATTTACACAAGTTCCCTGCAATCTGTGAACATTCTGAGAGGAGGCCAATGAGAGGAAAAATGACAAACAGACACTTCTGAGGAAAACAAATAACAAGAAGCAATACCCAAGTAGTGGCACTCTTAGGTAAAATAGACAATCTGTGTTAAAATAAAAAAACAAAACCTATTCCACAATTACTGAAAATTTCTTTTCTGGTGAAACTACATTACATGGAGGAAATAAGACTTATTTCATCATAGGCACATGGAATATGTGATGTCTGTTAATATGTGATATGTTATTTGATAAACAAAGGTACAATGTTAGCCATATTCATACCACAAAGGAAAACCACATTTCTCACCTGATCTTTGGAAAAAGCTTTGACATGAATATGTTTGACAGTCTGAACTACTCCATCATAAAATTTCACAGTGTAAGTACCTAAAATTCAAGAAGATAACATGACTTTAATTTACAGTTTTACAAAAAACAGCAACTTTTCAAATCATGACCATGAGGAAGCTTAGTAAGTGCTTAATGAACTTTTCAGAATTAAAAAAAAAACGGACTAAGAATCACATTCAGCCTTAATTACACATAAGATGAACAGTACGATGGCCTTCATTTCTTGGTCAGTAAACACAGTAAGCTGTCTTTTTATCCATACAAGTAAAAGAGAATTCATTTTCATAATGGTTAATTTAAGAAAAAAAGAACTGCACTGAATTTAGACTAAGAAGAACAAGAAGAATGAAGAAAATGTAGATTTATTAATTGTTAGTGAATTACTTTTTATAGTTTGTTATTTTCTGAGTTTATAAGTAGTAGTATCTCTTAAATTTGGGAAAGAGAAAAACAAAACTCATGCTGCGAAAGCCATCTTGTTTTCAGGAAGGTTCCATTAATCTCTAAATCCATTATGTTGAATGTGAATTAAGTTCACATTCAACATTTGGAAATAAAGACTATCAAAACAACAGCAATATTACCTTCTGTTCAATTCATCCCATTAGGGGAGGAAAACGGTCAAAAAGTAAAATGATCAATGATTTATTAAATGCAAATTTAATATTGTTTTTTTAAAAACAGTGCAACAAGAATCACTCCTGCTAGAAAATGGAAGCTGCTAATCCAAAATCTTTTCTCAAATCAGACTTCCAACTGTAAAAGTGTCCATTAGCTGCACACAGGTCAAGTTATCATTTGGTATATTAGAGTCCATCCATAAAGCAAATATTCTCTTTATGGCTCAAGGATTTTAAAAAAGCAGTGGTAAAAGAAGAAGAAAAAAAAAGCAGTGGTAGTGATGTTCTAATCTTGCCAAGATTACCGATGAACAAATTTTTAATTTCAGGACTAATTTCCCACCCAACAAGAAAAAAAAAACCATTCAGAAAGCTGAGACAGTAGAATGCAATTCATTTCCAGGCCTTATTCATAATTACTAATGTACAATCCACACCAAATCAAAGTGACAAGCTACTTGCCACCCAGCAATTCAGCTGTGTGACATTTCCACCTCAATATTTTTAATCAAAAGTGTTTTCATAAAACAGAATGTACTCTACAACCAGGAGAAGATAAAATAGATGAATGGAAAAAAAGAAAGAAAAAAAATAGATGAATGGGACCTTCTAAGAATCAAATCCCTATACACATCCAAAAACTTCTCCAACAGGGTAAAAAGGGAAGCCACAGGCTGGGAAAAAGTATTTAGTAATGACCTATCAAATAAAGGATTTATATTTAGAATTTATAAAATACCTGAGCACCACAACAAGATAAGGTAAACAATTCAACTGAAAAATGGGCACAGGATATGAACAGACACTTCACCAAAGAAGACATGCAGATGGCCAATAAACACCTAAGAAATGTTCAAACTCCCTAGCTCTAAGAGAGATGCAAATCAAAACAACTAAGATACCATTTCACCCCAGTAAGAACGACAAAATTTAACAGAACAGCAAGCAACAAATGCTGACAAGGTTGTAGAGAAACTGGAACCCTTATTCACAGGTGGTGGAAGTGTAAAATGGTGCAACCATTGTGGAAGGTGGTATGGCGCTTTCTTAAAAAGTTGCAAATAAAATACCATTTGACCCAGCAATTCCGCAATTCCCCTACTGGGAATAGACCCCAAAGAGATCATAACTGCCACCCAAGCAGATATATGCACACCCATGTTTATTGCAGCTTTGTTCACAATAGCAAGGAGCTGGAAACAACGTAAGTGCCCATCAACAAACGAATGGATAGAGGAGCTCTGGTATATTCACACAATAGAATACTATGCTGCACTGAAAAACAAGGAACTCATGAAATATTATTCAAAATGGGTAACCCTGGAGGACGTTATGCTGAGTGAAATATCTGTAATAAAAGGGCAAATACTGCATAGTGTTACTGTTGTAAAACAGGACTGACATCGGTGTTGGGTGGGGGGGAGACTGAGAAAGATTAGATAAATACTGTATACTGCATTGAAACAGATGGGGAGAAAACCTCAGGCTTCCTTAAGAAAATACAGATCTCAACTCAAAGGCAGCTTCTTCAAGCTTAGACACCACGCCTCATACCATTTCTCTCTCACATAGTGCCTTGTTCACTGCAGACCAGGGTTTCTCAAAGTCTGATGCACAGAACAGTAGCATCACCAAATCCTGAGAATGTGTTAAGAAACCAAGTTACAAGTTCACTTCATAGACACCAAATCAGAAACTGGAGAACAGGATATAAAATGTGTATCTCTCAAGTCCTCCATGTAATCCCACACTTCCCTTTCAGTTCAATGGCTGCATTCAGGTTGCTACAGTGGTGGAAGCTTAATCACTGCTATTTCATATACCAACAGGGTCATTCATATTGCAAAAGAAGAACTTTCAGACTAGGAAGAAAGGCCTAGTCAGCTACTTAAAATCAGTCATCGAAGATCTTCATGGATCATAAGAAAATAAAACCTACTTACTATTCTCTAGTAATGATGATCCTAGTGGATTACATTCGTAATCAATATAGTGCTAGATGATGAGCATCTATGTTCAAAGGCACTAAAAATACACAGTGGCCACCACAGTCAACTCAGAATTATAAAGATGGTGCAGAAGCAGGCAATGCTTCCTCCTGTTGTACAGAAAGTAGCTGCAAATTTGAGCCAATTCAGTGGAACCTAACAACTACCAGATGATTCAGATGTAGAACATACTATGGGAACCACTGCTATAGATTTACTGCTGGTAACTATAAAATGAAGGTGGATTATTTGTCACAAGTATCACCAAAACAGAAAGACTTAAAGAGCAACAAAATGTATACTGGGGCCCATTAGCCAGCAAAAACAAGATACACTGGGACAGTTAAGGTTCATATGAGTTTTTATTTACTAATCAGTAGTGACCAATTCCACCTGGGTTTCACCACATCCAAGTAGTGGTAAAACTCACATGAAATTGATCACCACTAATTAGTAAGTAATCACAGTAAGTACTGTGCTTATTAGAGAATTCATCTTTGGATAATTCGTTTTTGCTGGTTAAAACAGAACTATTAGATGACAAACTAAAAAAAAGTTATCTTAAAGTCTAAGGATAAAAACAATTCATTCAGAGCAAGGAATTTCTAATAGCTATAACAAAGGTCTTGGTTCTTATCTTTATCTGTCTGTATTTTAAGGATGTGAGCAAGCAAATAATTATAAGCAACATTTCCGAATTCTAAACATTTTTTCAAGTAACCATGGTGAACTTATGACCAGTCTGGGAATGAGGTTTCTTGGACAGAAACTTAATCAAGAATCAAAAAAGAATTCAATCCTCATAAATTTTAAATATTCTATGTTCATCATGTTGTTTTTGCTGGGTGCTGTCAAGTTTCTATCAACTCATTGTGATCCTATAATATGTTGTGTATACCCAGCCGGCAGATTTATGCTAACCTATAGCTGCCTTATATACATCATAAGCAGCTTTATCCACATTGCAGCCATGTCTGAGCAAGCGCAGTAATGCTATGGTAAATCACCATTTTAAGTGTAAATGCACAGCAAATGACCAAAGTGTGATAAGGGCAGAAAGCCTCCTTTTTTTCTGAGAACTTTAAGAACTTATAAAGTTTCTAAGCGTCTCACTTGTGCTTGGTAATGGCTGAAAGGGCAGGGCAAACAGCATGCCTACAGTTTGTGTGGACCTAAATAAAGAGATGTATGAGGATTCAAGGGGAGGGAGTGTGGAAGGAGAGAGGTGAGGATGTGCAGGGCAGGGTGAATTAACTATGGGGTCACACAGTTTGGTTGGAGATGGTGAGAGAAATGGGAAGGATCTGGTATGAAAAGCAATGCATTCAAAGTATTCCAATTTTATAAATAAATAGGTATAAAAATAATGTAAAATAGAAGGTATATGAATTATTGTATGAAACACAATGTAAATGAACGATTGCATAAAACAATGTATATGAATGAAATCACTGTAAAGGCACATGAAAATCAGTAAAAAATATTTTTAAAGAAAAGAGATGCTTAAGTCTCCCACAACTCCTCAAACCTCATCCTCTACTGTCCGACTGGCCTGGCACTGGCTGACTGCCTGGGACCTGACATTTTTTTTTTTGACTCTTAATCCTTTAATTAGACTAAGTCCTTAAGAAGGAAGCACAAGTCATTGTTAAGGAGGACCTGACATTTAAAGAACAAGATTCCTAACGTTAGACATGACAAACTGGCACTGTGAGCAAAATTTGGACGTGACAGATCCTATGTACAACAGAACAAAATACTGCCTAATCTCGCATTATCCTCAAAATCGCTATGGTGCTTTAAGGTAATTGTTGTAGCCACTGCGTCACCTCAAGTCTGAATTTCCTAGACAAACTAGGTCTGTATCGGTTACATCAAAAGGAAAGATGTCATTTTCATACATTAGTCAGAAGGACATTAAATTCTACTCAACAACACAATATACCCAACTCTTTGAGGTAAATTCTGAAGCTTACTCTTGAGGACAGTTTCAAGGAGGAAGCATGTAGACACAGGGATGGGCCTGAGTTTCAGGATCTAAGACAACTTGGATCAATCAAACTCCAAGTTTGTCTGCTGACTCTTGACCAACGTATATTGCCTATTTCGCAAATGTAAGTTCAGATGACAGACTAGAGCACTTATCACTCCAAAATGACCCAAACAGAACAAGCAAAAGGTGTTCCAGAGCCACTGTCATTGGATAGAAATATTCTGGTCCTGACTCTTACCATTCCAAAGGACTACAAAGGATAGTCTTGAAATTTTTTCCTTTGATTTTGCTAAACTGCAGCCTAAATTGAGCTATTATAAATTAATTTTTAAAAAAAATTTCTCCTAACAGTGTCTTATGCCCACTTCTGGAGAGAAGTCTCAAATCTAATGTTTCCCACATAATTTATAAGTTCATCCCATGAATCCTCTCTTT